AGTAAGAATCTCATTAATTCCTTGCAGAAATGGTGTTAGCGCCAGGAAAATGCAGTTTTCAGGATGAGAGTCTCTCTGGTCAGCCGAAAGGCCAAGCTTCTGCCGTTGGGACTGATGGGGAAGGAAACTGATTTAGATAAACTCTGCCAAGTTATTTTATTCTTCATTTGGAGGATTATTAAGAACGACCACACTCCTTGCGATTTAGCCCCACTGTATTGCTAATAAGAGTTTGCAATTTGTTTTTATTTATTTCCAGAGATGGGTCAGGAATGGGCACAAGCCCTGGCCATCCAAGTCGCAAGACCCTGCAATTTAAGGGTGCTTTCCTTCATCCCGCTAACCAACCCCCTGAATTACAGCGGCTGCAGCCCCCCGCGCCTCTTAAGGATGCCGGCAGTGGGCTGAGAATCGAAAGGCCATCAGCAAAGAGAAACCTTCCCCTCCATAAACACCGCAGACAAATTAAAAATGGTAAAAAGGAAATCAAGACCTTTAAAGTTCAAACACTTTTCGGTGCCTTTTAAAGTTTTTTTGCTCTAGGCCCTTGCAGAGAGCACAATCTTTGGAGACCTTGGGATTCTCTTTAATCACCCAGCCAGGCTGCAGTGGTCTGAAATGATTACACATTTACATAGTAATAACCCCAACACTCCCCACATTATTTCATGGCTAGCATATTTCCACTCGGCGAGTGATCCATGTGTTTTAAATTATAACCTGTACATAGGAAATTAGTTACTAAGTACGATATTCACGGGCTCGTCTGACACTTCTAATTAAGGTGATTTACACAGAATTATCCTACGAAATAAAAAAATGGTGTTTTGCTAGCTAATAAAATATAATTACTACCCACTTTTATAAGTTACAGTTAGTTTTAATCTATTTGGGGAATTGTTTATCTAGTTCATTACAGCAAAACAACTTCTTTCCCTTTTAGGCAACCCCCCCAAAGTACCAAAGAAGACAAGAAATGCCCTGGAAAGACCCAGCGATTTGGGCAGCCTCCTTCTCTCTTTCCCGATGACTTTGCATTTCCGAGCGATATGAGGCTGCTTCCTCGCTGGTTCCCTTTCTCGGGGTTGCAGCACCAGTTCTGGCTGTGCATTCGTGCATCCCCACATGTTTGGGTGCCCTGCGTCTCTGTGGGGACAAAATAAGGTCCCTGCTCTGGTGCTGCTGGAGGGCTCTGCTCAGCCCTGCAGCTGTGTCACCCGTTAAGGTTAATGGGCGCTGCACGGCCAGGTCCCCACACGCCCCAGGGCGCTTGCCAAAGACCCATTGCTCCTCTATATTAGGGCACATCAGCTTTAAGGGGAATATTTACTCTCAGCAAGGCCCTCCACAATGAAAGCAAGACTCAGGCTATACTACAGACACGCAGATGTCTTTTAAAGCTAGGCAGGGATTTGGCTAGGACCATCCCCAGATGCAACTGGGAATCCCCTGGCATCTCCCTGAGAGCGCCCCAAGGGGCTGTTCAGACCCAGCACTTCAGCTGTGATGTCCCAAAGGGCAGCTCAGCATGCCGAATACGTGCCCTCCTTACCCACAGTCTTGGGGTTTCTTTACCCTTACCATGGTTGCTGTTACACACAATGACCTTCAGGTTTATTGATTCTTTTTGTTATGGTCCTGCCTTTTGGGGTGTGCTTGCCATAGGGAAAAAAAAAAAAAGAGCAACATGCAGGGAGCGGTCCCTTATCATCCCCGTGAACAGAAGCTGCTACTTCCCACATGGAGAACCCAGGGCATGAGATGAAGACTAAGTGATCTGGTTGCGTTTTACCATGAGCAAGGTGGCACTTCTCCTTTTCTTTTAAGCCTTTGCTCTTGCAAGCTGTTGTAGGAATCTCAGCTTTCCTCCAAAAGAAAAGAGAAGTTTTCTGGGTGCCCGAGTCAGGAGACAAGCAGAAGCCCTGAAGGCTTGCTCCCCACGGCAGGTGCCTTGTCAGCCGGGCAGAGGACCACGACCTAGGGTGTGCTCTTGGTGCCCAGAGCCTACCAGATGCAGGCAGGGCTCTCGCTGACCCCCCAGCCCAAGCAGAAGCCTGGGCCAGGCAGCTGCCTCGGGGAAGCAGGGCAGGAGCCTTCCTCCTCCACGCTCACCGCAGCACACACACAGACTGTGCCGGCAGCGGGGCATCACCTCATCATCCTGGAGCAAGGCTTGGAAAGCTTTGTTGTAATTGTAGCTACAGCTCAAATGTTTGCCAATGTAAGGAGACGGAGAGATAGAGATGTGCTCAGAGGGACAATTTGGGCACAGAGCAGTGACAGGACTTGCCTGAAGTCTCAGCGCAGCAACAACAGGGCCAGTAACAGCCCCAACACCGTGCTTCAGCCTACCGCAGCCGCTTGTGCTCCCCAAGCGTGTTCAAAGGAGGTTTCTGCAGAGCCCCCACCCACGGCAAGGCAGGGCTTATGAAGAGCATCTGTCAAGGAAGGGCTGAGCTCCGTACCTGGTACAGCAGCCACCCCCCGGCCACACTGCCCACACATAATTAATAACAACTGCAAGAGAAGAAGTTCCTTGAGTTCGGGCAGCTACAGTTGTTTGTGCTCATCCCTTAACGACATTGCAGCCAGAAGAGGTTTAAAGAGGTGGTAAGAGGGCTGCTGCTATGCAGCTGATGTCTTCCAGCTCTGCAACTCTTCCACAGAACAACTCTCAGCAGCCCTCTGAATTTGATGGGCACCAGCCAGAGCGCATGCAGCTCCCACATGAGATCCCGCAAAGCCAAAAGGTTTCTACAAGCTGTGGCCGACTGATGTATTTCTTAAAAAAAAATTAAAAAACCAGTGGAAACAATTTATTTTTAGCTGCAGGACTTGTGGCTCAAACACGCAGCCTTGGGACGGGAGCCCCGGCAGCCGAGCAAGCTGCCTGGAGAGCCGTGTGGATGGGAACACCAGCTGTAAATAAGCAGTCGCTGGGTAGAGAGGGAATTGGATTTTTCTGAGTGCCAGTTTAAATAAGTGGAAGTGTCA